ACATCACAAGTAACATAGCAATATGGGTCATCAAACATTGCTAACAAACAACAAAAATGCAATTCAACCACATTGAATCTAAGACTTGATAGATGTTTCTTCAAGCGTTAGATTGGGTCTCACAAATTTGTGTTTTTGGACATAAACCCATTCCATTCATAGCAAATATGATGGTATCCCTTGGCATTGCTTTAGTAAAACAATCCGCCAAATTTATTATTGGAACATAGTCAAGACTTATGACCCCATCATTGATAAGCCTTTTCACTAGGCTATGCCTAAGTGAAATATGCCGAGACTTACCATTGTACACTTGACTATAAGCCTTTATCAACGCCGAATTGGAATCACAACGGATTGCCACCGGTGGCATTGGCTTAGGCAATAAAGGCAATTCTATCATGAGATTCCTCAACCACTCAACTTCCTTACTAGCTGAAGCAAGAGCTATAAACTCCGCTGTCATAGTGGAATCCGCAATGTAAGTTTGTTTCTTGGAAGACCATGAAATGGCACCTCCCCCAAACATGAATACCCAACCACTTACGGAAGAGTCATCCTCTTTGTAAGTGATCCAACTTGCATCAGAATATCCTTCTAAAACTGAAGGAAATCCACTATAAATCAGACCATAGTCTAACGTACCCTTAAGGTACCTCAAGACCTCTCTTATTGCAAACCAATGTTGTACACCCGGATTACTAATAAATCTACTAAGTTTCCCTACAGCCAATGCAATGTCTGGTCTTGTACTCGTCATGGCATACATCAAGGATCCAATATCCTTGAATATTCCAATTGGGAAACCGTTTTCCCTGAATTCTTAACCAATTTAACATTAGATTCCATGGGGGTGTTCACTGGACACTTATCAAACATATTAAACCGTTTGATCATCTTCTCAATATAATGAGATTGACTTAAGATAAGTCTTCCATTGTCCCTAATAATCTCGATGCCTAAAATGACATCCGCCTCCCCCAAATCCTTCATCTGAAAAGATGAGGATAAGAATTCCTTGGTCAATTCTACTTGTTGTAGACTTGTACCAAAGATAAGCATATCATCAACATATAGACAAATGATGACACCATGACCTTTGTCATCAAATTTGCTATATATACACTTATCAGCTTGATTCACCTTGAATCCAAAGGACAAAATTGTGTCATCAAATTTTCGATGCCACTGCTTTGGTGCTTGTTTAAGTCCATACAATGACTTAACCAATTTGCACACCTTATCTTCTTGTCCTTCCAAAACAAACCCTTCGGGTTGTTTCATATACACTTCTTCCTCTAGATCTCCATAAAGGAATGTTGTTTTGACATCCATTTGATGAATCACTAGATTATATACCAAAGCCATTGCAATCAATAACCTTATGGATGTAATTCTTGCAACCGGTGCATAGGTATCGAAATAATCAATACCATGCTTTTACCTAAAGCCTTAGATAACCAATCTGGCTTTAAATTTCACTATGGAGCCATCCGGTCTCCTTTTCCTAATGAAAATCCACTTGCAACCAAGAGGTTTGCAACCGGGAGGTAAATCCTCTCTGACCCATGTATTATTTCCCATGATGGAATCCATCTCATCATTTATAGCTTCCTTCCAAAATGCACTATTTTGACTAGATATTGCCTCGCTATAAGTCTTTGGGTCACTATCCACATTAAAACAATATGGAGTAGAAGAACTAAGGACATCCCTAGACCCTTCCACTAAATAAATTATAAAGTCATCAAGAGGGTTCCTAGGTTTTCTTTCCCTAGTACTTCTCCTAACTTGAGGAGTTTCAACATTCTCATTATCGAATGTATCTTTATGAAGTTCAAGTTGATCATTCAACTCTACTATGTCCCTATTATTGACACTAATTAGTAAATCTTTCAGTCTACTCATTGATGAAAATCGATTTTCATAAGAAATTGCATCTCTTGACTCAATAACCGAATGAATCGATATATAGTCATTTTGTTCTATTACATAGAACCTATAGGTTTTGCTATGCTCAGCATAACCTATAAATATGCAATCCAAGCCCCTTTCACTGAGCTTTCTTTTCTTGTTGCCGGGCACTCTTACGATTGCCCTACAACCCCAAACCTTGAGATACTTCAAGTTTGGCTTTCTTTTGTACCATAGTTCATAAGGGGTAGATTGTTTTCCCTTAGTTGGAACCCGGTTAAGAATGTGACAAGCTGTCAACATTGCTTCACCCCAGAACCCTTCACTCAAACCAGAGTAAGATAAAACATGGAACTAACCATTTCTTCAAGAGTTCTGTTTTTCCTTTCAGCTATATCATTTGATTGTGGTGTATAACCCGCTGTAGTCTCATGAATTATACCCAAAGTTTCGAAATAAGCTGGATCATAATACTCACCTCCCTTATCAGTTCTAATTCTCTTAATTAATGATTCAATATGCAGTTCTACTTCCCTTTTATAAATATCAAATTTTGTTAAAGCTTCATCTTTGGAATGCAAAAGATACACATAACAAAACCTAGAATAATCATCTATAAATGTAATCATGTATCTTTTGTTCCCCAAAGAAGGAGTACTATGAAAATCACACAAGTCACTATGGATCAGTTCTAAAATATTAGAACTTCTCTCAACTCTCTTAAAAGGAATTCTAGTTATCTTGTTCAACATGCAAGTAAAATATTTATTAGGAGAAATATCACAAGAAGGTATCAATTCTTGTTTTGACATGAAAATCATTTTATTGTAATTCACATGTCCTAACCTTGAATGCCATAAATCAAACATATTCAAATCAACTTGATTAACATTGTCAACAACATTCAAACACATATCATCCATTACACAATTCTCTCTCAATAAGAGTTTAAACAAACCATTATCCAAATAACAACGACCTATGAATGTTACACCCCTAGTAATTATTCATTTATTAGCTTCAAATACAAGCTTATAGCCAAGACTATTCAGGGTAGGCCCGGATACAAGATTCCTACTAATTTCCGGAGCATACAAAACATTCCTAAGAATAATTGCAGTCCCCAAACTAAACACAAGCTCAACTTGTCCTCTTCCAAGAACCTTGATGGTAGAGTTGTTCTCCATGTAGAGGTCTTCTCCATCAACAACCTTTTGAACCAATGTTTACTCTTGCACACATGCCTTGAAGCCCCCGAATCAATCCACCATGAGTCATCATCCTGCACCATAAAAATGTTAGGATCCGTTGCATTTAAGTCCAAACCGGAATTAAATTCAACCTCATGGAATGGGTTACCTTTGGTGGGTGGGTCCTTGCTTTCGGTAGCACGACCCTCCTTGGCTTTCTCCATTCTTTTCTTGAAATAATTACAGTCCTTCTTACGGTGTCCAACCTTACCGCATTCCCAACAAGCAAATTCGTTATTGTTTGCTTTCGTTTTGGACTTTCCTTTGGAAGAACTATTATTCTTCCTTTTACCACTAGTAGATGCACTAACTCTTCCTTCATCTACCATATTAACGGTAGATGTGCTAGGATTTCCATCATTTGCACCTTCCATGGAACGAATCCCTTCTTCAATTTGAAGATGGGTGGCCAAACCGGACAATGTCATGTCCTTTTTATGTTTTAAATCATGCTTAACCTTCTTCCAACTAGGGGGTAACTTATCAATAATGCTTGAGACAACAAACAATTCATTCATGGCTATTCCATGTCGTTCCAAGCTACCATAGATACGTTGCAATTCATGAAATTGGTCTATTATGGACCGACCATCAACAAATTTAAAGTTATTGAAATTGCAAACTAAAAATTTCTTACTTGAAGCGTCTTCTGCCATGTATTTGCTCTCTAAGGACTCCCAAAGCTCCTTAGCCGACTCAATATTTTGGTAAACATCAAAAAGATCTTCCTCCATCCCATTCAAAACGTGACCACGACATATGAAATCATCGTTGTCCCATTTTGACCTCTCCCGAACGGATTCTAAGGTTTCATTCTCATGTTCATCTGGCCTTGGAGTACTTATATCACATAGGCTACATTCAGAGATATAAGAAGAAAATACATCTTCTTCTTCCATCTCCGAAATTCCACACCGTCAAACTATTTCAGTTTAACAAAATTTGTGGTCAATTCTTTCACACTAGACATGCTTACTAAAGATAGAATTAACCTCTTTAGATTGTTAGGTTTTACAGTAATTCAACAACAAAAACTACTTAAGAATGTGGGAACAAAACCTAGAAATGATGTATAATTTCAACTTAATTATACAAGAACCAATACTAATCAAAGTATTACAACCAAAGCACCAAAAGATCAATGTATTACAGAAATTACAAAGAAAAACACTAATGTGAAAAATACTAAACTTGCCTCAACTCCATGCCTTGAAAGATGAACATGAACATGAGAATACCGATGACCACTTGAGTCTCAAACCTTGATACTTTGTCTTAGGCGTGTATACACTTTCCTAAAGAGGTTAATTTCCCCCACAACGGTGCTTGGGTTCAATCCGGAAATCCTCTTTGAGATACAAAAGACAGCAATTCGTTCTTAGCACAAAGAATCGAAATATAGATGATAAATTCATAAAATTTGGCTAAGTTTCAAGAATTTTTCTCACAAAAGTTTGCAAAAAGTTTAAGAGAAAATGTGGAGAATAAATGTTGGGAAGAATTCAGTAAAATGAAACTCTGTATTCTTTCGATAAAAACGAAAGCAATTAAAAGCCGAGAAAATAACCGCAAAAAACCGCAGACAAGGAAGCAACGTGGGCGCGACACAAATAGGCGCGGGCGCGCCTCCCAAGTTCTGCCAAAGTTTTGCAACTTTCCAGAGAGTTGACGCCTTTTTGTCGTGGGTTGCGCCAACCTTGTGCAGGCGTGCTGAACATTGGCGCGGGCGCTCCTCTCTGACACCTCTAAATCATCCGAAATAAATCAAACGATCACAATTCTCTCATACACTCTAAATAATCTAACACTTCATTCTCTCTCCTCCGCCACCACGCGCCACCGCATCTCACTGCCTCTACCACCGCCGTCCTCTTTCTCCGACTTCGATTCTCTCTTATCGCCACCACAATCGTTTGCAAAAACACCCACGACAAGAGCAAGCAAGCTCAATCAAATGCGCTCAAAGCGGCACGTGAAACTACACGCATCAATCATATACAGTCCTCTCCTCTTTCCTCACTCCTTAATTCCCATATTCTCTCTCCTAATCAAGCCATAGGTTTGGTTGCTTCAGCTCAAGCCAACTTCATGCGCGTCATCGTACAATCGACTCCTCCAGAACCAAAAAAAACTTCTAGAACCTCCGAGAAGAAGGATGTGAACGTTCTAAAGGGTTCTGGAAGTGGTGCTGGAATTGAGGTGTTGTGTGTGGTGTAGACTTGGCAAATAGGTCATTCGGGTCGGGTCAGCTAACATTTGGGTCGGGTCGATTCGGGTTTCGGGTCAGGTATCGGGTTGAGTTCGGGTCGGGTCAATTTCAGGTCAAGTATGTTCGGGTCATATTCGGGTCTAGTTAAAATCTGGTCGGGTCATATTCGGGTTGTTTCATTTGTGAATCAAGCTCAAATGAATAACTTTAAACAGAATATATATATTTTGTTATTGTTATAATTAAAACTATCAATTTAGTTTATGAGCTTAGCTACGGTTGAAGATGAACAATTTGAGTTACTTTTGGCAAGACATTTTAAGTTCAATTATAAGGTAATTTTAGTTCGGGACATTTCAGATATCGGGTCTGTTCGGGTATCGGATTTGTTCGGGTCAAACACTTCGGGTTTCGGTTCAGGTCAGTTCGGGTGTCGGGTCAGGATCGGGTCAACTCCATTTTCGGGTCGGGTTAGGTCATTTTCGAGTCATCGGGTCTGGGTCAGGATTGCGAGGTCTAGTGTGGTGAGAGCCGTGTTGAAGAAGATTAAACGGAGGGTTTTGGTTGGGGATAGGGTTTTAGTGGGGTCCATTGATTGGGTGAATCGGCGAGGTATGATTGAGAATGTGTTTCCTCGTGAATCGGAGATTCCTGACCCTCCGATTGCGAATGCTGATCATTTCCTGGTGGTGTTTTCGTTGGATCAACCTAAGGTTGAGCCGTATTCTTTGACTAGGTTTTTGGTTGAGACCGAGTCTACTGGATTCCCTCTTACTTTGGCTTTGAACAAATGTGAGCTCGTTCGCGATGAGGTTCGGGTTTTCTAGCATCGATTTAATTGGTTTTGTTGTTGAATTTGCTGCTGAAATGTGTATATGTTTGTGTGTTTAAGCATGTTTTGGAGGACTTGATATTGCAATGTTATTATAGATAAATTGTGTGATCAAAACTATGGAACAAAAAAAGCCTGTTGGGTGGATATTGTATTGATTGATTGGGCGGAGTTATAGTGTATTGATATATTGTGTGATTAAATTTGTGTTTCAAGTTTGATGATGCTCAATGTGCGTAATTTGTAGACTTGGGGACAAGTTTAATGAAATGCAGGCTCGGTTTTTAGCAACATTGAATTCAAATATATAACACAAGGAAGTATATGGATGTTTGTGTTTTACCAGTTTTTGAAGAGGGTATGTTATGTTATTTGCAGAATTTGAATGAACTTGCTGCATTGAGACTCTTTCCCAGTGCTGCTTATTGTTTTATTTTGGGTCTTATGGTGCTCGGAGACAATGTGCATAGCTTTTTGTGAACTCGTCTAGGAGTGGAGTATTGAAGTGAGATTGTAAAGGACTAGTGGGAGTAAGTTAAATAGAATGCAGGTTTTTGGTGCTAATGTTATTCTCAATTCTGTGGTCACAAGTGACAGTCATTGGGGAGTACAATATTCTAATGCAAGTAGCTTATGCTTTAATTGGTATTGTGAAAGTTTGCTATTAACCATTGTAGATGTAGTGATCAAACTATCTTATTTACTCGGGTTGCTTGTAGAAAATAAGTTTGTGTTTTGAAAACTTAGTGTTCAAAATTTAATCGCAAAAACACGTGTGTCTTGTATTTTGGAAGGAGTATTAGTAGTTGTGTAGTTTAAGTAGCATTTTAGTGTGACTTTGGAATACTCTTGCTATGTTCGTGCAACCAGTAGGGGCTTATGATTCTTCCCTCATTATCCTTGCAATTCCTTTCTTAGTAGCAGCTATTTTCATTGCCTTTTTATTTTAGAACCCCCTTTCCTTTGCAGGTTCTGTTAAACAAAATGGCCAATCATATGTGACGGAAAGTCACTTTCTTTTTCCTCATGTCGGAAAAACAGTGTGTTTAAAGTGCCGGAATTTTTTATTCAGTTTTGTGTTTAGTGATACTTAGAAACAATGTGTATGTTTTTCATAAATTGATTTGTATTGGAGTGAGTAGCTAAGTTATTACTTGTCAGAGCATTAACAAAGTTACAGAGCAGGCATACTCATACAACCTAATGATCCTAGGTTGAAATCAGAGGTTATATTATAGCTGAAAAGAAGTGCAATCTTCTAGCGCTTGGAGCTTACGCTCATAATTGATATCTACTTTTCTGAAACAGATAATAGTATGACTTATGACTCCTTTGCTTGTGTATCTACTTGTTCCAATTTGCACGTAGTGGCTTAGCTTAAATTATTTCATGTGTTGCCATTAAATAGCATATGTTCTTTTTGTGATGGTTGTTTTACTAGCTCTTCAATCATATGCTTTATCTGCACCGTGCAGGTTCTGATTGAGTGGAAAACCAGGCTTCGTCAGTGGGGATATGCACCCATATTTTGCAGCGTCGAGTCAAAGCGTGGACTTGATTCCCTTGCATTCTACTTGAGAGATAGGACAACAGTTATTGTGGGTCCAAGTGGTGTTGGGAAGTCTAGTCTGATTAATGCCTTGCGAAGCAATGATCAATCCCCCAACCTCATTGAAGAGGGTAGCCTGTTTGATCCTGTGGGTTTTATCTCCCTATTGTTTCTTGGATCATCTCAAATCTTTTAAATCAATGTTAACTGAGAAGCTTGTAATAGCTTAGCTGTTCTCTCTGACAAACTATCAGAATTCAGGCAGCAAATGGTTTGAGGAGCAACGAGTTAGAGAAGTATCTGCTAGGAGTGGAAGAGGGAAGCACACAACTCGGAACGTGTCTTTGCTACCATTGGCGGGAGGTGGATATCTTGCTGATACCCCAGGGTTCAGCCAACCTAGTCTAATAAAAGTAACAAAACACACTCTTTCACAGGCTCTTCCTTCTGTTTCCCTCATTTACCTAGCTACCATCAATTCTTTTTGTTAATTTCTCCCATATACAATGGCTTATACAGTTCAACTGTATCTTCAGATTCAGAAAAACCTAGAAGAAAACAAACCCAATGGATCTGAAATTTTGTTTAGCTTCGTACTCATCTTGGTCAATTGTATAACAGGAACAAGGTGGGAGATATGGGGGTCACACTAGCTGAGCCAAGGTTGGAGCCAAAGAAGCACAGGAGGCAATCTCGCAAGAAAACGAACCAGTCTCTATTAGACGAGTTGGACGAGCTGGATGATGATGACGATGTTTACTTGGAAGATAATCCTATCATCCGTGCCATGGAGCAAGAAAATCAGTAGGACTGCAACTAGACGAGCATCGTTTGGATAGCTAAGCTAGATGATGATGATTACATCTTACTTTGTTTTAGATCATTTTGACTCTTCAGGATAGTGAATAAGGGGGAAAAGGTTTAGAACCCTCTTTTTTGTTTCCTTCTTGTAAATAATGAGCCCAAAAGCAAAATGCCTGTATTAGCTGTATATATGAAACTTTGGGGTCATTTTAGTTTTAACTAATGCTGTTGAGAAGATATGTATAATCAATCTCTAATGACTGGAATAAACACGACTTTTTCATGATTTTTTTTTCAAATTTAAGCTGCCCAACTGTATGATCAACTCCAATATCCACCATGACCCTTCTGTCTCTATTTTTATTAAATTTGCTATAATTCACCCTATAGATTAGCTCATGGTAGTAGTAATTTAACCACAATGTTTACAAAACAAATACTCCCTTTGTCTCTATTTTTTGTCCCAATTGACTTTTTATGGTCTTCAAGATACATATTAAAATGATCATATCTATAATTTAATTGACCGGCATATAATTTTAGGCAATTTAATTGACTTAAATTAAATAAGAGGTAAGGGCCTATTCTCTTCAGCTTAATTTCAGTTCAGTTCAGTTCCTAATTTCCTTCTCTCATAAAATATTCAGTTTAGTTCATTTCAACTCCAATCAGTTCAGTTCAGGTCAACTCAGTTCAATAAATCAGAACAGATCCTAAGTGGAAGTGTTAGAGTTTAAAATTTGTAAAAGAAAGATAGTGAAGTTAATAGATTATTGAAAAAGTAATGAATGTGAGATCAAAGAAATTATTAAAAAAAAAGTAGAAGTGAGTTTGGGTGAGGACCATGAAAAGAGAGAGATATAATATTAGGCCCTGTTTGACAGAACTAGCGGTAGCGGGTAACTTTAGCGGTCGAGTAGCGAGTAGCTGCTAGGGTAACGAGTAGCTGTCAATTAGTAGTGAGTAGAGGTTAGTTGTCAAAGTAACGCTTGATACTATGAGTGTTTGACAAAAGTAGCGGTTGGAATACTAAAATATATTAATCATCATACAAATTGTTATAATAAAATAACCAAAAATTAATAAATGCTACCCGCTATTCTTTAACGCTACTATTTTTAACGTTTGAGAAAAGCTACCTGAACGCTACTTCCACCGCTAACCGCTACTCACATCGCTACCTTGCCAAACGCTCTTATTTTTTTCATAGTAGTGTTTTGATTGGTTAAAACGTTAACCGCTACTTCAAACGCTACCACCAAACAGGACCTTAAAATGTAGTTTTTTGCTAAAAAAAGGAAGTGTAATACTTATTAAAATACGACAAATATGGCAGGGAAGTATAAAAAGTTGATATCAACAAAATATACAATGAGATGAATAAAACAAGATTTCACATAACTCTATTACCTATTGTAGAATAACGGGTATTTATAATAAACGTTTTCAAAGTGTGACTTAAAATTTAAAAAGGAGAAGAGAGAGAGAGAGAGAGAGAGTATATAAGATACAAATTCAACAAAGTTTAATTTTACAAACAATACATCCAAAACACACACAATCAAAATAACTACACTTCAATGAAATAAAAACTATAACTTGAATAATCATCAATCAATAGTTTTTGATAAGATATGAGATGTGGGGTTGTTGGTTTTGGGCCCAAGTATGGTAAATACCAAGTTACTTCCCTTAAATTTTTATACAAATTTTTACAAACACCTCTATGTATGTTGCACTCCCTGCACCCTTTTTTCATCATTATAACATTTTATAATTTTTCGATTTTGAATTATATATAAAATATTCATTTTTATATGTGTAAATGTTCAATTTTTTTTTTTTTTTGAAACAATGTAAATATTCAATTTTGTATCATTAATTGTTCAATCTTGTAAATACGACGTGCCATATCCAAATTAGTATTTTTATTCCACTTTTATAGTAAGACAATTTTTTATATTGATTTGTTTTATTATTTAATTAAATTAATAGGCTTTATTTGAAAAAAATATTTTTCAATATAGAATAAAATTAATTCAATTACAATTATAACATCATTTTAAATTAGTCATATGCGAACCAATGTGAATATATAATAGGAACTATGAACCAATCTTAGCCTTTAATCGCGCTCCATCTAACGGCTCACGTTTCACCCGCATCTCTCATAATCATAATATTTGCAATGACTATGCTGGCAGTAACAAATCTATTTTTTTTATTAATTAGTGGGTTCAATAACGTGAGATAAATTATGTTAAAATTATTTATGAACTAACAAATCACGTGAAACTATATAAGTCATTCATCAATATGTAAAGATATGTAATTATAACTACATACCCTACGGGTTATTTATAAAATTATATAGCAACATGGCTACACTTTTAAAACAATATTAATTGTCCAAATACATAAGATAGGAATAGGCTCTCTTTTATAAGCAAGTTACCAAGAACTACGTTAAACTAATGACTTACCTATGACATTAATAATGGTTAATCCACTTCATACTATCTAATTTATGTAATGATAACAGATTAAATTTCATCAAATCGGGGGTTTACAAAAACATTCATTTGTCTCTCTTTCACACACACACTAAAAATGTCTATTCAACAATTTCTTGCAATTAATTATTAATGGAAATATATATTTTTATACATATGTTTTACTTTTGTGTATCAATTTCTGTGAAAAAATAATTTTTTTATTTTTTAAAGCCATAATGGGGAGCGGTTCAAGCATTAAACCACTTAAAGCCATAATGGGGAGCGGTTCAAGCATTAAACCACTTCTCATTCTCTTCAAATGGGAAGCGGTTTGAACAGCTTCCCATTTAAAGTGACAATGGGAAGCCCCCCAAGCGCGAGCGGTTCAAAAATCGCTTTCCATTAGGGTATTGAACCGCTTGTCATTTACTTTTTTCTACTAGTGTTACTATTGTTAGCAGCTTTCTGTTTTGCAAAGTCATCTTCAATTTCAATGCCTATGTTGTAGACATCTTGAAAGTATTTAAATTGCAATGATATTTCAAATGCTTTTGATATTTTTCTTGAAGGTTCTTAATGAACATTCTTACAGATTCTTTCTCACTAGAAACTTCAATCATTCTAGTGAAAGTATCCTTCCATCTATTGTAGAAGGTAGTGAAACCTTCATTCTCTTTTTGTTTAAGCATTTCAAGTTTCCTATGGTCGATTTCTACTTGAATATTACATTTGTATCTATAATTAAAAGCATGTGTAATAACCTCCCAAGTAGCGATCTTCTCGATGTCCATGGAGAAGAATCATTGTTGGCATACTGGCTTAAGAGAAAGTGGGAATAGCGAGGGGAAAACCTTCTTTTTAATTCCTTTGATTTCCATGATTGTTTCAAAGGCCCTTAAATGAAAGTAAGGATTGTCGATGACCTTGAATTTAGGGATGTCATTGGCAGAAAACTTTTGCGGAAGAAATTCCTTATTCACTTAGACCCCTTTGGAGCTAATTGAAAGGTACTTGTAGTCATTAGAGACTTGACTCAAGCTATTTTCCATACTCAAGGTATATACATTCCAAGAGTTTTGGTGCGTAATCTCTTTCACTTTACGTTGTTTACATATTTTTAGACTTGGTGATGACTTTCAAACCATAACACAATCAATCATTATAAAACATTCAAGCAATCAATCATACCAATTTAATTCTTGAATAATTAGTGACTACATACACTTAATGTTGAATCCTTTTTAAACTACCTCGGTGTTAAATAACACCTTAAGTGCATAAAGCACCACAAATTCTATCCCTCGGTGTTTAGAACACCTTAAGTGCACTTAGGCACCAAAATATAATTTATCCCTCGTGTACATAGACACTTAAATAGCTGTTTTCTCATGCTTGTAGCATCAATAAAAATTATATGAACCATAATAAAATTCTCCTTCCATATTCCAAATTCAAGTAAACCTTTAGTTTAATTAAACATGCTCTAAATCATGCCAATAATAAAAGTGTGGTTCACATTTAACATGTCATCGATATTAATTCCAATCATCAAGTCACCACAAATAATCTATACTTCACAAATCATTCACCAACATCAATCCAAACCACAATTCCAATCAACACCTATCATGATACTACATTGGAATTAATTGAGCAAAGCCTAACATACTTCTATACACTTAAATAATTGCCAAGTATGCAAACATATCTTGAATACGATCTCAAAATCGCCACGACTACACGAAATCACTTACTTGGAAATCTCCTGCAACCCAAATAGGCAAAGTTACAAAGAGACATTAATACCTATTCAATATAAATTTCCAGCAATATATATATGCACTCTTTAAATCACTTTTAAACCCTTTAAAACAAGTTGAAAATAAATTTAAAACCCTTACTTTTATTCCCAATTAATGGGTAATTAAAAATTCTTTCAAGAATCACAATTCTAACCTTTATACAAAAAATCTAGCTTTATAAAAACATGTAAAATTTCTTAATTATGTTTAAAAACACCTATTTCAATAATTTCAATCATCTATAATCAATTCTCATCAATATACTTTAATTTAGAAACCTATGATTTTCAATTTGGGCCTTTTTAATTCAAAAATTAAATCTGAAAATTATATACATAATAATTATATAATCAAACATCACAAAAATCATCACACAAACTCAAAAATAATAATAGAATTAAGGCTAGATTAATTTAAAACAAGAAAGACTTTTTTTTGTTCGAACCACACGCACAAGGGGGAGGGGGATGGTTGTCGCCGCCTCCCACCGGCTGCTGCTGCCAGCGAGTGATGGTGGTGGCCGGCCGATGATGGTGGTGGCAGTCGGCCACCCGTGCGTGTAGTGTGTGTGTGTCATGTGATGTGAGAAGAGGGGAGGGGGAAAAATTAAAGGAGATATAAAATAAGGGGGGAGAGAGAGATAGAGAGAGAGAGTTTACCTTTGGGTATTCTCCACCTTGGGCAAGATCTAACTTGCTCAAAAGATAGGTATTTATACCACCTCTCTAAAACCTCTTAAGCTTAAAATCCCTTTCTACCCTTAATGATCCCTTCTCCTATTCAAACTAGTCATTTGACTTCTTTAAAATCCCATTGATTTTAAAACTTTCTTTTATAAAATCATATGCCCCAAAGTTTCCAAATCACGAAATAAAATATTTTCAAAACTATTAAATAAATAAAATCGAATCTTTTATTAAAATAAACCTTTTAAAATTAATAAAATACCGCAAATAATTCATTTTGAATTATTTAAATACTTTATGAAATACTAATTTAAATTAAAATACGTATAAAAATACGGAGTATTACATTCATGGAGAGGGAATTCGAGGTGAGGTGCGTCGGGGAGGAGGAAAGGGAGATGGTTGGGGTCGGGCTTGTCGCCGGCGGGCGAGGGGGGATGAGTGTCGAGAAGTGGGCCCATGCATCGGCCAGAGGAAGGTGGTGGTCGGGCTGAGATAAGGGCAGTTGTGGTTAAGGCTGGCGATCCCTGACCGGAAACTGACTCAAAGTTTATGAGAGAAACCCGAACTCGACCCAAACCGAACCTGAACAACCCGAATTCGACCCGATTTGACCCAAATTTCTTATTTCGTAATAATATTAAGTTTTACACTATTTTTGATTATTTCTAAGCATAAACCGAAATTGACCCGAACCCGACCTGTTGACCCAAATTGCCACCCCTAGTTGTGGTGGGTGAGTTTTTTTTTTTTAAAAAAAAAATAAAATAAAATTAGTTATCTATACTTAGTATTTAAAAACACAAACCACAAATTTTTCATATGACACATGTCATTACAAGTCACTACTCACTCATTACCCCATATGACACATGTCACCTCTCTTAATCTTTTTGTTTAAGTCTTTATGCATTCTATAACTTGCAAATTCAAGTAAGAAAATTAAGTATTTTATTTCCACCATAATAAAATCAAGTTGAACTAACCAATTAATACACATCACATAAACATATGAATTATAATAATAATAATAAAAAATATATCTTTTCAACTCCCGACTAATATAACTTAAACCAATACGTCATTTTATATCCCACGATCTTTAATTATATATACCTAACTAAATTCCTTCATCTTCTTCCACAGTTCTACCCTCACTCTGTTTTTTTTTTTTTTTTTTTCAAGTTTTAGCAATGAAACAATTACTTCGTATTTCATATCAAAAGTTTCAATTATTGAAAGTATACCTACATATGAAATAACCAAGTAGCAACCCGTGCATCGAACGAGCCAAAAGGCTAGTTAATGTATAATTATCTATATTATTATTAAAACTCATAGGGACAACATGCTAACACCATATGTCACCCTTATTTATCATTTGGTGCCACATGTGTGCCATGTGTTGTCCTATGTGTATCACCCTTCCCTCACTGCATTGAATTGTAGTAATGTGTAGTTAATTTGAAAAACTCTTCATTGGTATAATTTTAATCCTCTATAATAATGCTTAATTTACTTGAAAAACTCTTCATATGTATGTATAACCTCTATATTTAAATTTGACATATTAATATAGATTATTATATTTTTCACTCACTTATTAATATTGTTCAACATAACCCTTTTTGTTAATTTTGGTCAAACTTAAAAATTTATGATGTAACGGGGCATCGCCCCGGCCAATAACTAGTTTAAAAAAAACAAAACAACAGCCAATAAAATGTTGCCACATGACAAAATAAGCCTTAATTACTAACGGAGTTAACGTCCGTTAGTCATTTGGATATTCCGTGACATTTTTGTTAAAATCGTGGGTATATGGTGAATTTGAAAAAATTTATGGGTATGGTGAAAAAAAAAAATTACTCAGGGGTACATGGTGAAAAAAACCGTAAAATATATTGATTTACTTAATAAATATTTTGTCAAATTAAAATATTTATAGTTTGGATTAAGCTTTTGATTGAGTTGGTGTTTTAACATGATATCAAGAGCCAGCGTGATACAAAAGTCACCGGTTTGAATCTCATCCACAGCAAACCAACAATAGTAGCTATCAAATTCAATGCAGATTATAGAAATGGACTTGAATCAGTATATGTTATCTGTTAATCTGTTATCATGTACCCATCATGTCAGAATTGACCGGGTACCCGACATGTTACAATTCCAAATTAATGAACCTTAACCGAAGCATGTATAACAAGTTTCAATTCCAAGACCTACAATTTGCTAATAGGTCACGGTTTTGACTTTGGACTCCTACCATGTTAAGACAAATTTAAAAACTTGTAATTATCGTGATTCTTCCATTTAATATCTACTAGTCAAATTCGGACTTGCCACAAAACTCACAACAAACCACTGTAAAGATTACATTTCAAAAGAGGAAAATTTTTGCACTTTCAATAAGAAGACGATGAGTAGTTAGTTTTAAGGGTTAACAATAATAACTAATTATTAAAACCAACTATAGCTACCTGAAAACTCCTCAATCTTTGTGATTGAATTTTTTCTGTGTAATGCAAACTATAATTTCAACATAAAATATTACTACTCCGTAATTTGTATGAAACAAAACTTGTATCGACTTTTCTAAAAAAAAAAAAAAAAAAAAAAAAAAAAACTAATAATACTTATTACACTTAAATAAAAGTACTTTTTTTCGTGATAATATCTAGATGATGTAGGCATGTAGCCATTGGATAAGAATAATGTAGTCAACTTCAAACCAATTAGGCACATCAAGTCAGTTTAGTGTTCGCTTGATTTCAACCTAAACTAATTTGGATTGGTCCACCTAGCAAATGTTTATAAATCAAACTCACTTTCCACTAACCAAAATTGAGCTGGCTCACGCCAATCACCCAACCCTCGAGTCATCTTATAATAACCACCTAGCCCACTTTATAAGCCGTGTATATGTTTGAACTTCCCAATCTAGTAACCCTGCTTAATGATCACCTTTAAATTAACAACTTCGAATACGACCAATTCAATCATCGACCCCTAGTTGATAAAATGATCCAAATCCTATTAGAATAACTCTGGGCCTATGATCTGGACATCCCCAAACCCCAAGCAAGAGCAAAGATCTAAATGCCCAAAGCATAAAAAAATCCAAACTTCAAACTTACACAAAATAAGCCTTATCCAGTTATCCCATTTAATAATCCCGAAACATCAAGAATATTCTATCAAATTCTACGTTCCAGTAACCCCTGGAAAAGCAACAGAACCAAAAAACAAAAAAATGGATTAGACTGAAAACTTCCACCACCTACCGAAACAAACAATCAGTCACCGGAAAAAAAAAAACTGCAAAAAATGGCGGCAACTTCATTCTCTCTCCTCCGCCACCACGCGCCACCGCATCTCACTTCCTCCTCCACCGCCGCACTCTTTCTCCGGCGCCGATTCTCTCTCCTCACCACCTCAATCGTCTGCAGAAACACCCACGACAAGAGCAAGCAAGCTCAATCAAACGCGCTCAAGGAGGCGCGTGAAACTACACGCACCAAGCATACACAGTCCTCTTCTCTTTCTTCTCTCTCTAATTCCCATATTCTCTCTCCTAATCAAGCCATAGGTATGGTAGCTTCAGCTCAAGCCAACTTCATGCGCGTCATCGTACAATCGACTCCTCCAGAAGAACCTTCTAGAACCGAGGTTCTAGAAGGTTCTGGAAGAGGTGCTGGAATTGAGCTGCTGTGTGTGGTGAGAGCCGTGTTGAAGAAGATTAAACGGAGGGTTTTGGTTGGGGATAGGGTTTTAGTGGGGTCCATTGATTGGGTGGATCGGCGAGGTATGATTGAGAATGTGTTTCCTCGTGAATCGGAGATTCCTGACCCTCCGATTGCGAATGCTGATCATTTTCTGGTGGTGTTTTCATTGGATCAGCCTAAGGTTGAGCCGTATTCTTTGACTAGGTTTTTGGTTGAAGCTGAGTCTACTGGATTCCCTCTTACTCTTGCTTTGAACAAATGTGAGCTCGTTCGCGACGAGGTTCGGGTTTTCTAGCATTGATTTAATTGAGCTTTGATTTATATATGATTGTTGAATTTGCTGCTGAAATATGTATATCTTTGTGTGTTTAAGCATGTTTTGGAGGTGTTGATATTGCATTTTTATTATAGATTGGCAGAGTTATAGTGCATTGATGTAGTGTGATTAAAATTATGGAACAGGAAAAGCTTGTTGGGTGGATATTGTATTGATTGATTGACTGAGCTTCAATGCACTAAGAATGTTTTGGGTGTTGCAATTTGTGTTTCGAGTTTGATGATGTTCAGTGACATATGTGTGTAATTTGTAGAGTTGGGGCAAGTTTACTGAAAAGCAGGTTCGGATTTTAGCAATATTGAATTCAAATAATAATACAAGGAAGTATATGGATGTTTGTGTTTTCCCATTTTTTGAAGAGGGTTTGTTATGTTATTTGCAGAATTTGAATGAACTTGCTGCATTGAGACTCTTTCCAAGTGCTGCTTATTGTTTTGTTTTGGGTCTAATGGTGCTCGGAGACAATGTGAGGTAGCTTTTTGTGAACTTGTCTTGGAGTGGAGTATTGAAGTGAGATGTAAAGGACTTGTAGGAGTAAGTTCAATAGAATGCTGGTTTTTGGTGCTAATAGTATTCTCAATTCTTAGGTCACAAGTGATAGACAATGGAGAGTACAATATTCTAATGCAAGTAGCCATACTATAATTGGTGTTGTGAAAATTTGCTATTAACCATTGTAGATGTAGTGATCAAAGTCATCAAACTATCTTGTTTAATTGGGTTGCTTTTAAGAAAATAAGTTTTTAGAAAACTTAGTGTTCAAAATTTAATCTCAAAAGCAAGTGTGTCTTGTAATTTGGAAGGAGTATTAGTAGTTGTGTAGTACAAGTAGCATTTTAGTGTGACTTTGGAATTTTCTTGCTATGTTCATGCAACCAGTAGGGGCTTATGATTTTTCTCTCATTATCCTTGCAATTCTTTTCTTATTAGCAGCAATAGAATGCTGGTTTTTGGTGCTAATAGTATTCTCAATTCTTTTCTAGAACTCCTATTCCTTTGCAGGTTCTGTTAAACAGAATGACCAAAAAATTTTGACGGAAAGTCACGTTCTTTTTCCTCATGTTGAAAAAAAAATAGTGTGTTTACTACTTTACTGCATTCAAAATAGTTTAAGTGCCTGAATTTTTTATTTGACTTTTCAGACATATCAGTTTTGTGTTTAGTGATACTTAGAAACAATGTGTATGTTTTTCATAACTTGATTTGTATTGGAGTGAGTATCTAGGTTAATACTTGTCAGAGCATTAACAGAGTTACAGAGTAGGCATACTCATACAGCGTAATGATCCTAGGTTGAAATCAGAGGTTATATTATAGCTGAAAAGAAGTGCAATCTTCTAGTGCTTGGAGCTTACGCTCATATTGAAATCTGCTTTTTCTGAAACAGATAATAGTTTGGCTTATGACGCATTTTGCTCGTGTATTTACTTGTTCCAATATGCATGTAGTGGCTTAGCTTAATTTACTTCATGTGTTGCCATTAAATAGCATATGTTCTTTTTGTGATGGTTGTTTTACTAGCTCTTCAATCATATGCTTTATCTGCACCGTGCAGGTTCTGATTGAGTGGAAAACCAGGCTTCGTCAGTGGGGATATGCACCCATATTTTGCAGTGTTGAGTCAAAACGTGGACTTGATTCCCTTGCATTCTACTTGAGAGATAGGACAACAGTTATCGTGGGTCCAAGTGGTGTTGGGAAGTCTAGTCTGATTAATGCCTTGCGAAGCAATGGTCAATCTCCCAACCTCATGGAAGAGGGCAGCTTGTTTGATCCTGTGGGTTTTATCCCCCTTTTGTTTCTTGGATAATCTCAAATCTTGTAATTTATACAATGTTAACTGAGAAGCTTGTAATAGCTTAGCTGTTCTCTCTTGTAAACTATCAGAATTCAGGCAGTAAATGGTTTGAGGAGCAACGAGTTGGAGAAGTATCTACTAGGAGTGGAAGAGGGAAGCATACAACTCGGAATGTGTCTTTGCTACCATTGGCGGGAGGTGGATATCTTGCTGATACCCCAGGGTTCAGCCAGCCTAGTCTAATGAAAGTAACAAAACACACTCTTGCGCAGGCTTTTCCTGAGGTAGCTTCTGTTTCTGCTCATTTAGCATAGCTACCATCAATTCTTTTTGTTATTTTCTCCCACATACAATGGCTTATAAAGTCCAACGGTATCTTCAGATTCGGAAAAAGCTAGAAGAAAACAAACCTAATGGATGTGCATTCAACAATTGTTTGCATGTTGGTGAACCTGGATGTGTGGTAACTGGGGATTGGGAGAGAGATCCGTACTACTTTCAATTGCTGGATGAAATAAAAGCAAGGGAGGAATTCCAACTAAGGACATTGAGCACAAAAAGGGAAGGTGATGTCAGGTAGAAAAGAGGATCTGCAAATATTTATTAGATTTATTATGCTCAAGAGAATCTGAAATCTTGATTAGCTTCGTACTCATCTTGGTCAATTGTATAACAGGAACAAGGTGGGAGATATGGGTATCACACTAGCTGAGCCAAGGTTGGAGCCAAAGAAGCACAGGAGACAATCTCGCAAGAAAATGAACCAGTCTCTATTAGACGAGTTGGATGAGCTGGATGATGATGACGACGAATACTTGGAAGATAATCCTATCATCCGTGCCATGGAGCAAGAAAATCAGTAGGACTGCAACTAGACGAGCATTTGGATAGCTAGATGATGATGATGATTACATCTTACTTTGTTTAGATTATTTTGACTTTTCAGGATACTAAATAAGGGGGAAAAGGTTTAGAACCCTCTTTTTTGTTTCCTTGTAAATAATGAGTCCAAAAGCAGCCTGTATATATGAAAATTTGGGGTCATTTTAGTTTTAACTAATGCTGCACGTTGAGAAGATGTGTATAATCTCTAATGACAGGAATAAACGCAACTTTTTTCAAATTTTGGTTTTCCAACTCTAGGATCAACTCCGATTTCCACCACGACCCTTTTGCCTGTGGCGTCTTGGAGTATATACTTGTATTTTTTATTAAACTTGCTATATTTCACATATTAGCTCATTGTAGTGCTTTAATCACAAAGTATATTAAGCAGATATACAAAATACAAATTCAACAAAGTTTAAATTTACAAACCATAAATCCAAAAAAAAAAAAAAAACAATCAAAATTACAGTTTAATTAAATTAAAATTACAATAACTCATGTAATCATTAATCAGTAATTTTTTATATCAATTTTTTTTCTTTTAAATTTTTTTTAGAGTTTGCCCCACCCGGTTCATTGGAGCTTAGCTCCGACTACATCCGGATCCGACTCGGGTTGCACACCTAGCTTATGGTGGGTGAGTCTCCCAACAAGAGTTTTCTGCATTCGGTGAGACCTCCCTTAAGCGACATCAAGCTGCTTACTACTTGAGCCTACCCTTGTTGATTTTTGATATTAGTATGAGATGTGGGCTTGTTGATTTTGAGCCCAACAGTAAACACCGAGTTACTAAAAACAAATATCCCCTTTATTACTTCCATTAAAAAAAAAAAAAAAAAATCACCTTTATTACCTCCCTACCAAAATCAGAAAAAAAAATACATCCCTTATCATATTCCTAAACTAAAAAGATTTTTTTTTTAACAAAAACCGTAAAAACAAATCCCAGATATTTAGAACCTCTTTTTATACTATGAGTAGGATTTTCTCTTTCTCCTAAAATTATACTACAATCGCCTTACATGCACAACGAACACTCCATATAAATATAAACCTTGCTCTTCCCTCCTCTTCCTCTTCCTCTTCCTCTTCCTCTTCCTCCCAAGTTTCATCCTTTTGTATTCTCCCTCGTAAAATCATAATCTAAGCGCTATGGCTATTCCGTACGATCAACTGGAGAGATTTTTTTGGTTGTCCGTCTTCCTTACCGTGAGAGAGATTATTTCGGTATGATTGCATGGACCGGAATCGGAGTTGATAAACATTGGGGCATTTCCTTGCTTATTTGCTCTTTTTATTTCCTTGTTATTGATTCTGAGATGGCATGGCCCGACACGAGCCCGCCTCTTGGCCCGCGTGTCGGCCGTCTTGGCACGTCAATAACGACCATAATTAGAGCCGTTTGTCACGACTCACATATTCCCACCCCTCACTAGAGCCACAAGGCAGCAAGTTATAATCGTGGCCAAGGGGAATGCCCTTGGTGCATGGCTAGCAAGGCCAGAACACCCTTCCCCCTATAGAGCTTTATTTAGCTCCCTGCCATTTACCCTAGTGAACACGCCCATGACAGTAACACAATAATGGGCCATGGGCCGGGCTTAATGGACTCCAAATGAGCCCAAACTTGATGGCCCACCGTTTTTGGGCCCAATAAAGATGATGGTGCAGTCAGAATTTGAAGATGAGGCCCAGAACTTTCCAGAATGCACGAAGAGGTTCGTGGTGCATCCGGAGGTCTCTAGAAGCCTCTAGGGACAACTTTTACATACTTAAGATGCTAGAACTTTGTAGATGGTTCTAGAACATTGTACATAAGCCTATGTAATTAGAAAGTGTATAGAGTTCTCTAGAACCTTCCATTTGAGGAGGTTAGGAAGCATCTAGATTAGAACACTCTAGAAAGGGATGGTGCCTATAAATAGGAAACCTCCCACCCATTCTTACTCATGTACAAACACTTGTATTCTCTCAAGCATTTATAAAAAGCCTTCTTCCTTAAAGCTTTCTCATATATTCTCACTTGTGCTTTCCAAGCAAACCACACTTAACTAACAACATCAATATTTAGCTTTGCTAAGCAATTGGGAGCCTTGACTAGTAGTCTAACGGGTGGTGACTCTAGTAGGCCGCGTGCAAAAGACTAAGGGAATTAGTCAGCGCGTGACACGTGGTATCAGAGCAACGTCGATCGTAGGGGCGGTCTGTTGCGTTTGTGTGCTAGTTGTTGTTAGAAGATAAGTGCGGAAGTCAGGAGTATGGCACAAAAGGACGATGCCCATGCATCCGTTGTGGAAGAGGGAAACACCAGTAAGAAAGCTAGCCGTACCACCTTGCTTGAGGAGAAGATGGTTAGCATGGTCCAGGCCATCTCGGAACACCGAGATAGCATTAATGACCTCAACGAACAGTACAATGATGTTGAGGCTAGGGTCAAGGGTCTTGAGTCGGGGACTGAAGAGGCGAAGGTGGAAACTCAATCCTTGGTCAGTCAAGTTGCTGGAGATATTAGGGCAGAGATGGCCCAACTGAAGGATCTCCTCATGTCCACCATTGACTCGATGGAAAAGAGGATCGGCTCGATGGAAGAGAAGATCGAGTCCTTACACGCCGACGTGGTGTTGTGCAAGTCGGCAATGGCCGGGAGTGCCGCTGTTCGGGATGGACCTAGGTTGAAGGTCCCCGAACCGCCAAAGTACAACGGAAGGCGCGATGCTAAGGAGCTTGAGAACTTCCTGTGGAGCATCGAGAAGTACTTTGGCGCGATGCATTTGGACGATGATGCATCAAAAATCAGCACCGCTACCATGTACTTGGGGGACGATGCCATCCTTTGGTGGAGAAGGCGCGAGACCGACATCAAGAAGGGTCCAACTCAACACCTGGGACGAGTTCAAGAGCGACCTCAAGAAGCAATTCTATCTAGAAAACTCGGAAGAGGTAGCCATAAAGAAGCTGCGTGGGTTGAAGCATACGGGGTCAGTCAAGGAGTACATCAAACAGTTCACTTCACTCATGCTAGAGGTGACCGAGATGCCGGAGAAGACTCAACTTCTCTACTTTATGGATGGTCTACAACGATGGGCTGAGCAAGAGTTGAAGCGCCGAAACGTCCAAACTCTCGTTGATGCCATCGCTGGTGCCGAGTCCTTGTACGAGTTCAAGCAAGAACCAAAGAAGGAGAGAGGCAACAAGAGTAGCGGCAACAAGGGGAAAGGTGGGGGAGCCAAGCCCACCGAACGAAGCCACAACGGTAGCAAATCGTCTGAGAGGAAGGACAAGGACAAGGAGAAGTCCCACTCAGACCGAAAGTCAAAGCGCTTAGATTGCTTCCTATGCGGGGGTGATCACTGGGCTAGGGAGTGCCCACAAAGGAGGAAGCTCAATGCTATTATGGCTACATCACCTGGGGAATCGTCAGGGGACGAGGCACACATGGGGACGTTGCGCCTGTGCAACAGCGTGAAGGCCACGGTGGAGGAGCCCAAGGAGGACAAGGACCTGGCCAAGGTATGTACGCTACCCCGGGACAAAAAGCCATATCTTATGTTTGTTGAAGCCATAGTTGGGGGAAAGGCCTCAAAAGCATTAGTCGACACTGGTGCTACCCACAACTTTGTGACGCTCAAAGAAGCCACAAGGTTGGGTCTTAAGTTCACCAAGAAGAGGGGTTCTTTGAAAACGGTGAACACTATTCCAGCATCCATCCACGGTGTGGCTCGTGGAGTCCCACTTCAGTTGAGTGAATGGAAGGGGGCAGTAGATTTCACAGTCGTCGACATGGATGATTTCAACTTGGTGCTAGGATTGGAGTTTATGGACTCAGTAAGGCCTTTCACGTTCGAAGAGGATGGCTCGCTGACCATCAAGAGGGGACAAGGAGCATGGTCAGTCCCCGTTGCCCGAGAGGAAGCCGAAGCCAAGATGTTGTCCGCAATACAACTTGACAAGGGCATCAAGAGGAAGCAGACAACCTTTTTGGCAACAATGGTTGAGGAGAAACCCGAGGTGCAACAGGAGATCCCAGTGGAAGTTGCCAGGGTTCTCAAGGAGTTTGAAGATGTCATGCCTCCCGAGCTACCCAAAAGGCTTCCCCCTAGAAGGGAAGTAGATCATGAGATCGAGCTGGAGCCTGAGGCAAGGCCTCCAGCCATGGCACCTTACAGGATGGCCCCACCGGAGCTTGAGGAGCTACGGAAGCAGTTGAAGGAATTGCTCGATGCTGGTTTTATTCAACCATCTAAGGCACCATACGGGGCACCTGTTTTGTTCCAGCGCAAACATGATGGAAGCCTGCGCATGTGTATAGACTACCGGGCGTTGAACAAGATCACCGTGAAGAACAAATACCCCATTCCCCTTGTGGCAGATTTGTTCGATCGATTGGGGAACGCCAGGTAATTTTCTAAACTTGATCTGAGGTCGGGGTACTGGCAAGTACGCATCGCCGAAGGGGATGAGCAAAAAACGGCATGCGTAACTCGCTATGGGTCCTTTGAGTTCTTGGTAATGCCTTTCGGCCTTACCAACGCCCCGGCAACCTTTTGCACTTTGATGAATAAGATCTTCCAGCCTTTCTTGGATAAGTTTGTGGTCGTCTATTTAGACGACATTGTGGTGTATAGTAACACTTTGCAGGAGCATGTGCAGCATCTGGCGCAAGTGTTCAAGGTTCTACGGGAGAACTAGCTATATGTCAAAAAGGAGAAATGCTCGTTTGCCAAGATGAGGTGTCTTTTTTAGGGCACCATATCAAGGCTGGCAAGATTATGATGGAGCATGACAAGGTGCGCTCCATCCAAGAATGGGGTGAGCCAAGGAATGTGTCCGAGCTACGGTCCTTCCTTGGCCTTGCCAACTACTATCGGCGGTTCATTCGAAGCTACTCGGCCAAGGCAGCACCTTTGACCGATTTGCTCAAGAAGAGGGCCCAGTGGTGTTGGGACGAGAAGTGTCAAAGGGCATTCGATGGGTTGAAGAAGGCAGTCACGGAAGAACCCGTCCTAGCCTTGCCTGATTACTCGAAGCCATTCGAGCTGCATACGGATGCCTCCGATTATGCCATAGGTGGGGTCCTTATGCAAGAGGGGCATCCCATTGCCTACGAATCTCGCAAGCTAAACGATACGGAGAGGAGATATCCTGTCCATGACAAGGAGATGACGGCCATAATTCATTGCTTGCGGATATGGAGGCACTACTTGCTCGGGAGTCGGTTCACCATCTACACCGACA